TAGCCTGGTCTTCATATTATATAGCAATTTGAGTGTTCGTAGACCTTGATTTTTATTTTACATTTATTATCCTACTACATAACATGCAACCTCAAAAAGCACCTCCCATCCTTTTCAGAATGCAGCTATAAGCCTTCCTTGTGGTGAATCCAGTTCTCTCTAGGAAGCTAAATCTGGTCACATCACTTACAGTTTGACATGAAGGACTCAGCCCAAGGCTGAATTTTTCAGGGGTCGGCAATCCAATTAGATCATTTCCTCCTGCAAAACCCAGGCATGTGTGATAATAACCAACCCCATCCAAGCCTGGGCCAACCTTAGGTGAGCTTCATTCTTTAGTTTACATTTTAATTTAATTTATCATGTCATTCTTCCCTAACAAGGTTGGACCTTTAGTTTTCTCTTTGGGGCATTCATATTTAAGTATTTACGCAACAAATATCTAGAAGGCCTAAAAGGAGATAGAGAGTTGATGAACTATGATGAAACAGAAGTGAAGAAAACAGAAATACACATCAGCCAGCTTGTTTTGACTTCCAGGCAGTTCTCAGCCACAACATGGAAACATCATTATAACAGAAAGTTAAAAACAAAGGAACTGAAACACACCTCTAATATCCCAACCTGTTGAGCTATGTTCCACGGGACTGGTTTTGATGCTATCCCTCTCGAGGTAATAGCTTGAGTTGATTTTCCCTCAATTTCTTGGTGACCACTGAGAACAGGGACAGCAGGTTGGACAAGCACAGAGAGGTTTGAGGAACCTGGAATCTCTGGCCAAACTGCTTGTGGTGAAATAGCTGCTGTATTCAGGACACTGACAGCAGGCAGTCCCCTTGTGCGTCTCTTCCTCTTTTTCAGACTATCTTTCTACTATTTCATTCACTTGTGTCTGACAGAACAACATAGGCCCTTCTGTCACTCTTTTAACATTTGCTATGAAATATTTTCCTGTTTCTCGCTGGGATTTCATGGATCCCTGTAAATCATGCATCCTATGCCTTAAAACTTGCATGTACCTGTGAAACCCTACTATCCACACCCAAACCCTGAGATTTCTCATTTTTCATCCTCAGAAATTATTTCCCTAAAGTACTAGCCAGATAGTTCAGTGGACTAAAGTGCCTGCTTAAGAAAGCGCAGGAGCCGGATTCGATCCTTGGCGTGCCATGCTGGCCCCACCCCTACGGTGCACTGAAACAAGACTGAGACTGGGTGTGGTGGTGCACACCTTGGAAGGCTGAAAATAGGAGGATCACTACTACTCCAATCTGTGCAGTGAGACCTGTAAGCCCTGTACTAAATACATGTTAAAAATCGTAAAAATTTTAAAGCCATATTCTCTATTTGTATATGAAATGTTTTTCAAACATGCCGTCGAAATATACTCCTTTTTCTACTATTTATCTGGTTCATTTGTGACCGTGTTTCAATCAGTGTCCTAGGCTTTCTTATCTTACACACTTACTCCATATCCGTTTGTCCTTGTTCACATTTAAGAACTTCATGTCCACCAGATTCCAGTCTTTAAACTCATGCTACGTTGCTATCCTTTTCAAAAGGAGAACTGTTCTTCCTCTGAAATATTCTACATTAGATTTCTTTTATCAGATGATAACTTCTTTTTCGGTCTTTTTGAGACAGGTTTTCACTATGTAGTTCAGGCTGGCCTTGAGCTCATCTTGTAGCCAAGGCTGGTCTTTTTTTTTTTTTTTTTTGGTGGAACTGGGCATTGAACTCAGGCCCTTGTGCTTGCCAGGCAAGCGCTTATTCTACTGAGCTATCTCCCTGGCCCCCACCAGGCTGGTCTTGAACTTGAAACTATCTTCCTGCTTCAGACTCCTGAGTGCTAAAATTACAAAAGTGCACCACCACACCAGCCCCATGATCACAACCTCTGTAATTCTTGATCTCTCACTGTTTCTCCCAGTATATATATTTTTTTTCTTCTCTCTCTCTCTTTCTTTCCTGCTCCCCATTCCTGGAACCCTCCATATCTCCTACATCATCGCCTCTTTCCTGGTTTTGCTTTCTTTCATGTGCATTTTAGACACCACACTCCCACTATTCAACCATTCTTTCAGTCACTCCCATGATGCCTTCCAATACTTGCCACACTCTGCCTGTGACACGAATGCTGACATGCAATACTAGTGGATTCCCATTTATTTAAGTCCCTATTCTTTCACTCAGCCGGTTGACTACTACATGAGAAAGTCACAGTCAAGTATTTTTTAAAAAATGTATTTCACTACAGGGTCTTCAGGGCCTCAATACACAGATCATACTCATAGTGATCCTCCTGTTTTCAGCTCCCAAGTGCAGGGATTACAGGCGCATGCCACCATGGCCAGTCCCAGTCTCCATCTCAGCACACTCTAGGGGCAAGGCCTGAAAGGAACTCCAGGGATCAAAACAGTCAAGTGTATTTGTCTGACTGAGAAATCCTGATTACACTATACAGATGTCCAGAAATTCTTTTATATATTCCTTGACTACTTTTCTGGAATTGTGATTGTAGCTTGTGTCTAGATGTCCTTCCTCCCAAAGTCCCATGAAGTCACAGGTGGGGCTCTTTCAGAGGTGGCTAGATGGAGAGTATGTGATGCTGGGATTAAGGGTGTGCAAGTGCTAGATTAGTCCATTCATTGGTTTGGCACAGTTCTGGGTATGGGCAAAGGGAAGGCCCAGCTGGGTGTTGGTGCTTCCTGTTCTAAGGGCAGGTGGCCTGCACAGAATATGAGGGACAGAAAGGGGGCTGCTGTCATTGCCACTCGTCGCTTGCTGCTTGCTTCTTCACTGCCTTCTGCCTACCATAACCTTTGTCCTCTGCAGCACCCCTCTGCCGTGCCACCCTCCCTCGGAGCCAGCCAACTATGCACTGAAACCTTGCCGAATCAAACACTACAATAACCTTTTCCTTCTTTTACTTTGGTATCAGGTATTTTGTCTCAGCAACAAGAAAAGTGATTAAGACATTCTCCAAGTTCTTTTATTTCAACATTTGTCTCCCAAAATGGCCTGTAATTTTTGCTTTAGGAAGATGGCCAAAAACAATGGTAAGCCTATCTGGATTCTTCCTCAACTATTTGGATTCATCCTTTACTTTCTGTTTCAATAAAAGGGTGGAAGACTGATTGTTTTAATATTACTTTTGGGGTGGAAGATAGCTCAGTAGTGTAAACACTGCCTGGCAAGCACAAGGTCCTGAATTCAATTTCTGGTACTAAAAAAGAAGAAAGGAAGAAAGGAAGAAAGGAAGAAAGGAGGAAAGGAAGAAAG